AAAAAAAAAAAAAAAAAAGTTAAAGAAGGGAATCTAAATTAACCTCTAATGCCGGTTTTCCAGACAGAGTTCTTGTATTTGAGTCCAGATACAATGTTGTTTTTGACAGTAAAGGTAAAATTAAGGTTATATTGGCTTCCTTCTTTAAGAGTAAACCATGTGCCTTTCAGGTTTCCATCCTCGGGGATTTGTAGGACAATATCGCTTCTGCCTGGGGACTTTATTGCAAGGCTCAATATTTTCACTTCAGGATCAAGACTTTCTACAATACGACAAATTGAAGAAATTAACCCAAATGGTCTCGAACAAAAGCCATACTCTCACTTAGCACTAACACTGAAATGTGAACACTTTGCACAATGATACAATGTGAAAAGTTTTGTTAAATGAGAATAATGTGGTTTTGATAATAGAAGTTAGAAATTAACCGAGAATGTTTTATGAAAATCAAATGTAAAAACGATTTAATTGTTGTGTAACAATGAGAACTCAGAAATCTAAAGCTAACAATAAGAAAAGTCAGCACAAGCCTTGAAGGATATTTTAAAACAATATCAACACTGGCAATTTGATACACAGTAAGTCAGTAACAACGTTTAACGTCAAAAGAGCCACATAGATTCAAGAAAACATGAGAACCTCAAAAGTCACTCTCTTTACACCACTTTTCATCCAAATACTCCATTTAACTAAGACCCGAGCTAGACCATAAAGAATTTAGCAGATAACAAGGGAGATCACAAGAAAGCTTTAATTCTTCACATAATTTGGGATGTATCGTATCATATCACCCAATGATAAAATGCATTATCAATTTTATACTCAAACAAAAAGATGCAATTGTTGTTTCCTTTTCCTTTTCTTTTTTTTTTCCCTAAAAAATGAAAAGGGAAAGATGATTACCTCCAACAGCATTAATATCCACGCTCCCAAGAAGCTGTTCTTTCCACCTCCTCAAACTCTCATCATCCTAATCAAACCAAATAAACAGACACTACAATAACCATAANNNCTTTCTGTGTCATTCCTATTTTTTTTTTCTCAGACAAATCAAGAAACAACAAACCTTATCTTTCTCAGACAATTCCTTGAGGGTAACTTGAGGGCCCAACTGAATCTTGGGATCAACATCATCGTCATCATCATTTTCATCCTCAGTGGTGCAGATAGAGCTCTCACTCATTTTCCTGCTGATCCCCACAACATTTTCCTCAGCCTTAGAATCCAATGAATTCGGCCCAGAGATCGATTTCCCCTCATCTTTCTCATCAGATCCCATGGCTTTGGAACTCGAAGCAGACCCAATATCCAAAGACATCAAACGCAATTAGAAATGCAGGAAAGCAAATTGGAAAACCCAATAAAAATGGCAGCTTTGTTCAGCAAGAGTAACCCATGATGAACAAAGAGAGATTGTTGAAAAATATACAGAGAATCTGAGAGTGAGTGTAATGAGGAATTTGAAAATGGATGAGAAAACACCGGAAAAAGGGATAAGGTATTTTTTTTTGGGAAGTGAGTGATTTTTGACCGAAGTTACGAATAGGAAATGGTCATGTGGTGATCCATAAATGAGCAGCGAATGTGGGAAAAANAGGAAAAAAAAAAAGTAAAATAACTAAAAAAAGAGAAGTAGAGAAAGAAAAGGAAGAGAGAGAAAGGAGTGGGCCGTGGGGGGCTTGATAATGGACATGGGCCAACGGCCCAAGAGTAAGATTTTCATGTAGAGTAGATGAAAATTATATTTAAAAATTAAAATTTTATGTTATTAGAAACTGGTTTAACTCATCTGTATTATTGTTAGTTAAAAAATTTATACTTATATGTTATAAAGATAAAGTGAAAATTTTTGTTTAATATTTAATATAATTTTTAAAATTATATTGTATATTGTTATTTTTATTTCAAACGAAGTTACTTGTATGATTTATCCTTGTTATATTAATAATTGTTTTAACTAATGATGTATAATAAATTTAGAGATAAAATTAACTTAATTAATAAATAATTTTATTAAGTTTCAATTAATATTAGTAGATAACTTAGTTCTTGTTATAAAGATAAATAAACTTATCTATTTTAGAATAGATTTGTTCGGAAACGTATTATCTATGTATTGTTGGAATTAATAGTTGATCGTTTACATTCACTCTCTTGTTACGAAGAGTTATTTAGAGTGAACCTCTGAACGAGAAACGATTCAAGACCTTTAACCGAGCAATCAATTGCCGGTGATTGTGTTAGAACCGAAAGCGATTATCCCCGATTCAGTAAATTCATTTGCTATTTTACTTTCATTTTATTTAGTTTAAATCAGTAGTTGATAATTGAAACCCCAAAATATTGAACTAGAATGTTTAGGAATTTGTTTTTCTCTTTTTCGTGATTGCATAAACGCACAAGAATATCCGGCTAATCTTCTTTGCGATACGACCCGGGGACGAATCTTTCGATTCTACTCCGGTAAAAATACTGACAACCAAATTGGCGCCGTTGCCGGGGAAGGTTTAGGACTATAATTGTGCGCCTATTCGTTTTTTTTTTTTAGTGTTTCTCTTATTTCTTGTGATTTTTCTTGTTTTCGTGTTTCTCTTTGTTTCTTTAGTTTAGTCTAGTAGCTTTTGCTTTCTTTAGCTTTCTTCTTTGTTTATCTGGTGCTCGTGACGGTTTCTTTTTTCTTTGTGTATGCGTACCAGGAGTGGGCGTACCATAGGACCAAACGACAAACCAAGTCAGGAGAGCGTAAGGGAGCTTTTCGACAAACTCAGCCTCCATTCATCTGAAACCACAAATCCAGACATGGCTCTACAACATCGCGATCTCCTTCGAGACTTAGCCCATTCGATGATTGGGCCGATAACTTCATGCATCCGGTTGCCACAAGAAGCTCGAAACTACGAGCTTAAGATGATCCATTACAACCAACTGCCATCCTTCCACGGGCTCCCGAATGAAGACCCGCTTAACTTCATTCGGGAATTCTACAATGTGCTACAGACCTTCCCTCTCCACGGGCTCACAGAGGAGCAACTGAAGATGAGGTGTTTTCCTGAGACACTGAAGGACCGGGCCAAGGCTTGGTTCATGACCCTCGCACCGGACTCTCTCACTACCTGGACCGAAGTATACACGAAGTTCATTGGGAGGTACTACTCCCATCAGAAGACCCAGGAGCTCCGGTCACAAATCGTCTCCTTTGTTCAACTACCGAATGAGCCTCTTCACGAGGCTTGGGAGTGGTTCAAGGATCTCCAGCGGCAGTGCCCTCATCACAACCTCTCTCCGGGACTACTAATCAACTGCTTGACTCCCTGCATCAGAACTTGCAGTATATGGTTGACAATGCGGCAGGGGGAGATATCGGAGCAAAAACGGTTGGAGAGATGTTCGACATTTTCGAGACGATGAGCACGAATTCGTCATAGAAGAGCAGCCGAGGGAAGAGAGTGACAGTGAACGAGGTCGGGCCGGGCAGCAATGTGATGGCCCAGCAGTTAGCCGAGTTCACATAGCAAATGCGTTTACTTAACGCACGAGGAGCTCAGCCGGTTCAGACCATGGCCGTTGACACGTGTGGGGCATGTGGAGTCCCAGGGCATAGGTCTGAAGTGTGCCCTTCAGCCTTCGATCAGGAGTTCGGTGAGCAGTATGCAGATGCCAGTGCCTTACAGGGATACCAAGCCCGGCCTGGCAATGACCCGTTTTCAAACACGTACAACCCGGGATGGAAAAATTATCCCAACTTCTCTTGGTCCAACAACACGAACTTCCAGCAACCCCATCCTAATTTCATGCAGCAGCAACCTCGACCCAACTTCATTCCCCGTCCGAACTACCAGCAGCAGTAGAGAGGACCAGAAGCCGGGATGCAAGCACCGGGAACAGGGCCGAGTTCATATCTCCAGGACGACAAGCTTGATAAGATCCTCCAGTTTATCACGAACCAAGATGCATCTATCAAGCGGCTTGAGACGCAAGTGGGCCAACTGGCCGCACGGGTCGGCACCATCGAGACTGAATTGAACAAGGGAAAGTTGCCTAGTCAGCCGGAGCATGTGAATGCAGTGACTGTGGTTTTGCCCAACATTGAGAGGGAGATCGTAGGCGACAAGAAGGAAGAAAGAAAAGAGGACCCAAAGAAGCAAGAAACCCCAGCGACACTGCTGGCTGAGCCAACCTTACACAAATCTCCGAACCATACAGGCCAAAGATTCCCTTCCCAAGCCGACTTTTGGAGGAGAAGAAAGAACGAGACCCTGGTGGGTTTGTGATCGATGTAGCTTTTGAGAGTGGGGAAGATGTTTCAGGGATGCTAGACCTTGGGGCAGGCATTAATCTGATGCCCCTCTCTATCTATCGGACACTTGGACTCGGCGGTCTGAGGTCCACCAGGATGCGTCTACAACTTGCTGATCACTCGCTCTGTCAACCCGAAGGGATTGTGGAAAATGTCCGGGTAAGAGTGGGAAGCTGATAGTGCCCGTTGATTTTGTGGTTCTTGATATGGGGGATGTTAGAGAGAACGGGTATCAGCACACCATCCTCCTCGGACGACCCTTTATGGCGATCACCAACACAGTAATTGATGTGAAGAAGAGGACTGCAAGCATGATGGTGTTGGGAGTATCTACCTTCATCTCCGCCCGAGGGTCCCAGCTTGAGCCGCCAAAGCAAGTGCAGGGCCATGTCCACACCAAGTGTCACGCTGCCCCCTCCCGGCCGCGTTCGATGAAGCTGCCCCGGTCCCACTGGGGAGAGAGATATGATTTGTCAGTCGCCCGCCGATGTTCGGGGCCTGACTATCTCCATCCTCCGCCTGCACCTCTGAATTCACAGTGACTGTTCTAGTCACTGTGCACTGTATGATTGTATCTCTCACTTTTTCTTTTTGCATTTGGTTCTATTTTTCTATTTTTTCTGCTGGTTAATTGAGTAGGTAAATGTTTCTAGCTCTGATCATCAACTCTGGGTTCATTGTTCGGTTTTTAGTGTTGGGTACTTTACATTATTAGATATTTTCATTTTTATTTTATTATTATTATTCCATATATATATAAAG